TTATTAGGAAACTCCACTCGTGGTTCGGTTATCTTGTGCAAAACTTGGGTTCTTTCCCAATATTGTTGTCAACTTTCGTACGAGCACGGTTTCAGCATTTTAATGGTATTTTTCTCGAAACCGGCCGGAAATGGCTGGCTTCGGTCCTGCCCCCGAGTGCCTCGTCCCAAGCACTTTCGTAAGGGTCACTCATGAACCCTGGACGTATGGTTGAACTAAAAAAGGTTTTTTCGGGACCACATGGCTTTTGAAATGCAGCCTTGGGAAATTGTTCAAAATGGCAAATTTTGAGCTATCGATTTGCGAGATCCCGCATGTGACAGAAAATATTTCCCGTCCTATGATGGCTATAGCCCCAACCGCTGGGACCGCAAAAAATTATGCACAAGATAGAGTTGGTCAAAAATGACATTTTTTAACCTATGTGCAAAAATTTTCAGTTAACGCTAGTTACGAACGTAATGCATGCTCGTTTGTGGCATTAAAATCTCACTGTTTAGTCCTAGCAATTTTGCCCTTTCTGATTATGGCGGGTTGCTCCAACGGATTAGTTTCCTCAAATCGTGGCTTCTTTGAATAGACGGAAAACACATTGTTATTCTTTCAGTTCTGGGCTTTATTCTGCGCAATCATCGACACCTTTTTCGGAATACGTGCTATTCAGACGCAGAAACCGGCGTGGATGCAGCTCTTCCTAATTGCTTGGGTTCGTTTTAAAGGGGGCCATTCTTTGGATAATTTCCCTGACGTCAAGCTTTAGACGCTAATAACCGTGATCCACACGGCGCTGCTCATCTACATCTGCATCTACGAGAGAAAGGGGTAATAAAACTTGAAATATGACAGCTACAGTAATCTAGGAGTGGTAGAATTTTCCCGGATCACCTGGGACATCTGAAGGACGGGTATGCTTGGCCAGGTGGGTCTACAATTTATAAGCGATTCTTAATTCGAGTTTACGCGGCTGGGTCCACAAATTAAATTAAACGTAAAATAACCTTGTAATTAAAGTAAATTTTGGCTTAGACGGGTCTATTTCAGTGCTGCTCGTCTCGGGTATAATTCTGGCCTTCTATCACACCTTCATGTCGCTGCACTTTGTTTCTTACTACCATTATATCCGGTGAGCGGTTGACGTTCACTTTTTGTGATTGTTGTAGAAGAATGAAACATTTTGATAAGCTATTTTGCTAATATTTTCTGAATTTAGTGATTGTCAACTGCAACTGGAGCAGCAACATGACCAAATGCAGTCAATCCAGACCTACAAATAAACGCAGCGCGGCTCAGGATTTGACCATTTTCGCTGAAACTATTTGTAAATTTATTGATTCGTATTTCAAGAAATATTCACCAAAACATTGGATGATACCTTTAAATCGAATCGCTCAGATTATTGGCTTCTCGCCATTATGTGCCTGCTTGCATCGATCGCAATAAAAATATTTTTGATATTGCGGATCCAATGCAAATATACAATATAAATTTTTTTCGTAAGGCTGTCATCAACATCAAGTGATAATGGATCGTGCATAAACCAACATATGGCGTTAAGCAAGCAAAAAAAAAGCCACGGGCTTTCCCCCAAGCTTTCCCCAAATTTATGGTTTATATCGTACTACAAAAAATAAAACAAGCCTGGAATAGCTTGTGAAAAGCTAGTGTTGCCCAGTGATTATTGTTTTCCCAATTTAAATATTCCCTTCGCTGTTAATCGTTTTACACACAAAAAATACCGCAGAAAAAAACATACGCCGTTAATTTTTCCCTTATTACGTTCATCGCTACGTCGCGATTTTACAAGATATTTGCCATTTTCAAGCTTTTGCGAGATGGCCGAGTTATCGTTTCGTATAATTTCGAGCGCGTCCATTTGGCTGATTCAATGGCTTGTACAAGCTATGGTCTATCTTTTTGCATCACTTGCGATAAAGCCCGCCTAGATCTTTTGCCGCCCCACTGATTCATATTCCAGAACTCTTACGAAAGTATTGGGCGGAGCTTTGTCTAACCCGTATAAATCAACGCTTCCGCTTGGTGTTCTTATCGTCTTCTAGCTTCCCAGATTTCGCAATCGCCTGGAAATTTATATAGTAACGATTTGCAACTGTAATCTCACACTATTTTCAGGCTAGTTCTGAAGCCGTTAGCCCTTTTTTAAAACTATTTTAATATTTTTGGTTGATAGATACGCTCGTAAATTTCATGTGGACCTAAGTTTTGTTTCTGTACTTACCGAACTCCATCGCTGCTTCAATAATTTGCTTTCCTTGAATTGCAAAATGCCAATAAATGGCATTTCAGAAATTATGACTCATATTCATATCCTGTTGTCATTAATCTGTCACTGCTGAAATCAAAGGCTTGCGCTCTTCAGATGATTTTCTTTTGGGAGCCAAACGATTTCTTGTCTCCTGGCCAATTTTTTCCAAGAAACATGATCGTCCTACAGGTTTTATCATGCCGGCTGAATCGGAGCCCCATGGTCAGCAACTTGCCATGGAATCGAAACACAAGCCTGTAAACATAAAGGTATAGTTGTACAAAAATATATTTTTTGCCTTCAAACCAGCTTTATTTTAATTGCAGGCCCTATTCAAAGTGTCAATGCTCCTCTGGGTACTCTATACCGTAGCCAGCCTGTATTGGGTGCTCCACTTCATCATGGACCCAGGATCCAAACATTCAGCGCTTCTAGTGTTTATACAGGTATCTCTTACCTCGCTGCTTCTGACCTTTAAACATAATTTTCAGTCTTGGCAGATAGTGAGTGGCATCCTAGGAATATTTTTTGGATGTATGACGATTGTTGAAGCGAAGAAATTACAGTGGATCGACGGGCTTCTGGGTTTTTGGATAGGTTTTGTTCTCTAATTTTCCGTGGCCATTCATCAGTTTTCTAAAAAAAATATCGATGTCTTTATATCTTGATTCTAGGCATGTTCCCTATTGTTGACCGTCACCACTATGATTTGCATCACGATTTGGGGATCGGAAAGTTATCATTGAAAAGTTAAATAAAAGATCTGATTTAGCGAGATAACCGTCATCGATGACGCCAGGGTTGTTCGCGGACGGACGCGGACGGTCCGGGACGCGGACGCGTCCCCGTCCGCTCATTTACATAAATTTTAGCGGACGGACGGGGACGCGTCCCGGACGGACGGGACGGACGGCGGACGCCGGAAGTAACTGCGTCCGCGATGCAAATGAGAAAACCGGATTCAAATCATAATGAAGCGCCTAGTTTTTCATTGTTAGGCGTAAAACCTTTGGTAGGGTCTGGTTTTTAGCATGTCTACTTGTACATGGTCCCCTACTGTCCAGTAAAATCAAATTCACCGCAAAATCTGCAAAATATTGTGAATTTCTGGGTTTTCATTTTAAGATTACCATGAATTAATTTGCATTTCGGACGCGCGGACGCTCCCCGTCCCGGTCCGCCATGCGTCCGTCCCGTCCGTCCGGGACGCGTCCGCGTCCGTCCGCAAAAATTTTATGCTAATGAGACGGACGGGACGCGTCCCGTCCCGGACGCGGACGGACGCGGACCGGACTCAAAATGAACAACCCTGGATGACGCCAACGTACCAGGTATCATATATTCTTTGAATAATTAAACTAGCGTTAGCAAAACTGATTTGTGGGACAGTCTTCGTCGTGGTTCTATGCTTCATGAGCTGGATTTTCTATTGCTATCACGCGGACCGTACAAAGTGGGTTTATAATGCCATTTCATGAAATTCAACTTAAGGGATAAAGAAGCCAACGCCAATCCAGCCATCCTGCATCAACTGGAAGCTGGAAAGTGCCTCGTTGATTCTGCGCTTTCAGTCGATCACGATCACGAACACGCTTATGGGCTGGTAACCTCTGCACCGGAAAAATCTCCATCGCCAATTAATTGTAAGCAACAACTGGCGTACCCCTGTTATACGGGTTGAGAAACGGTCTCTCCATTTGATATATATTGCACCTTCTCATTATACCTTACGATCCCTTGCGCGGTACGCGGTACGTATCTCACCCGACGTCCTACCATTGCTACTCGGTGCTGAATAAATTGCTTCTAGCTGTAAATTTCTAACAAACAGAAAAACTTGCACAAGAGTTCGAACAGAATTCATGTCCCTCACAAAAAAATCCAAGAGCTTAAAGGGCGAATAATGCTAGCGGAGCCATCTTCACCCCCACTTACGCCATACCTTACACAAAAATCGATGGTCTTCCATTCGGCGGTGCCCGATTTGAATCGAAAGCCCGGCCTAGGGGTCGCGGCTTTTTTCTGGCACCAGAAAAAGCCATGGACCGTACACGAGAGAGAAACAGCATACAATTTTTGGAGGCTCCAGAGACCACATAAAACCCGGTGGCCGCTCACGTTTGCCCTCACTCGGTCCCCCATTTCCCGGTTCGACTTGTTTTTTAGCCCAATGTTGTTTGGTACCCGAGGCCGCTGGCATATGGCCTTCTCTTTGCCCTCACCGTCGGTGCTATCGACCCAGTGGGTGCACTCTCCCTCTCCGGGTTGTTTGCATGTTGTTTACAACTTTTTTGAGGTCTAGCCTCAGCGAATATTAGGCCCATGCTGTGCCAGATGCGCATATTTTCGTTTTGTTTTTGCAGTTGGTGCGTATTAAGCGTCTTTCGCGGAATTTAAAAAATCTGGATTGATTTTCATATTTCCGGCCGAATAATCCCGGCCTCCAAACTTTGATTACGCGATGTAATCTACTTTTCATGGCGTGGCATTTTGACGCGTGCGATACAATACGAAACGATATCTTATTTTCAATCCGGACAAAAATATTCCTTCAGGGCATTAATCGGGCGTTTTGTTATGTTTCGAAAGCTACCCTATAGCTATCCAACGAATAATAAATCTTTATTTTCTTCTAGTTTATTTCACAAATGTTAGAACCTCGGCTTGGTCGAGATATAAGTTTTTTTATTTTCGATTTCTTCCTTATTCTGATTCTTTCGATTTTTTAGGTGTAGCAATGGGTCTCCCAACCTGGCTGTGGAAACCAAAAACGCATCACCCGTTGGCTCCGGTGGAATCGCGCAACTATCGATGCTGCTGCAGCTGCTGCACCGCCAAGGTAGAAAATCCAAAAAATATTGAGTTTCGCTATTAATAAAACCGGATCTAAATTTTTGACAATTCTTAATATCAGAAAAACAGTGCAAAACCAATCCAAGCCTTTATTTTAGTGCGGCTTCACCACCGTTCTGATCTTCTGGGCCATCGGCGCTCTCCTGACTCTCGGTTTCCTGATGATCTTCATGTTGGCGCCGGCGGTTTACCTGAAGCTGCTCAAGATGCCGGAGGTTTCGAAACCAATCTAAGAAAACCTTGTCTGAAAACTTTTTCAGTTCTACACGGTGGTCTTCAGTCTGCTATGCGCCTTTACGGGGGTGCGCTCGATTCAGACGTTGAAACCGTGTTGGATGCAGTTGTTCTTGATCTTTTGGGTAAAATTTAGGAAGCATATCATTATTAAAGCGCTTAAACCTTATCAAATAAAATCGTTGTTTATAGTTTGTTGGCTCGGCCCTGAGCTGGACACTTTGGATCATCTACTGGGTAATGCTAACAGAAGGGTAAGGGGTTTACGAATAAACTAAAACGCTAAAACTTGTTTAGCTTCGAGCAGATGAGCGCAAAGGACAAGATGGAGGAGGGCAAGAAGCACGTCGACACCAGGCCTTTTACCTGGACCCGTGAGCTTTTTCGATCATTTTTCGTTTTCACGATACTAGCGAAATAGATTTGAGCCAAAAACCTCTGGAAGTTGTGCAAATTAATGAAATTTCAGTTTTGGCACCACTTATCGTCACGCTGTTGATCTGTCAAACGTTCTTCACGTGCCTCTTCCTATCCTACTATCGCTACGTGCGGTAAGCAACTGTGTTAGCTGGAATTGTAGCATAAAGCGAATTATACTGATGTAAAGACGTTAACTTGACCTTTTTTAGTGACCGCCAACTCGAGATTGACCAGCAGCGCGGCCAGATGACGGCCATCACCACGCACAATATTTAAGAACATCTGTTTTTATGAAATTTGCATGTTTTCGCTTTAATTTCCAATCGGATGATCTCCTACTTGGTTGATCGGACCCGCATTTCGCCATTGCATCTTTCCACCGTTCAAACGACCGTTTTTAAGCGCGAATCTTTCTGTATTATTTTGATTTCTTGCCTTTTCGATTGCTGTTTGGTAAATAATAAAGACTTTTTTGGACTCACTGGCCCCAAAGAAAGCAAAAAAGCAAAAAATAACCCGGAAAGGGTGAAAAAAAGCAAGTAACAACAAATAACGATCCAGGGTTCAGGCGGTGCAGGACGTTCGGCATTGTAGGCCGTGTTTACAAATATTTTTTTTCTGCGCGCGTCCATAAGATCGACAGTCATGCTATACCAAGAGAGCCTTACCCCATTTCGTTCCGCTTTTGGTTGGCGTTGGTCATTCCATGGGCAAATTAGCCAATTTTTGGGCACGTCGGCTAAAAATTGTTGATTACCAGTGGCACAAAAACAATTCTTTGAAACTGTTTGCCAATTATGTACACGTTGTTTTCATCGGAGGCGGTTCCAGCGGTTTCCTGGCGAATAAAAGGGAGAAGTACCGTTTGGTGGGCGGTGTTTTTAGATACATTTCTCTTGACTTCTCCTCTGATCCCCCAATCTCTCGTTGGGGCGTTTTGGCCTTGAACATCCCCTGGCTCGGATCGAGAGAAGAAATCTCTTCCTGGTCAGGTGCACGCGCCTTTTCGGCAGTGTTAGATTCTAGTCAACAATTCCCGTGTTTTACTTTCCATTGAATCGTAAGCTATACTAAGCGTTTCAGAATCAAGATGGGCTTTCCGATCTGGCTGTGGCACCCAAAGACGCACTCCTACAAATCACCCGTCGAAGCACATAATTATCGATGTTGTTGCAGTTGCTGCAATTCAAAGGTAAGAAATGAAAAATATTTTAATCTCAATACTTACCACCTTTAGTGCGGCTTCACCTTTATCTTGATCTTCTGGACCATCGCCGCTTTGCTGAACCTGGCCTTCCTGCTGCTCGTCTTGCTGACGCCGGAGGTGTACTTGACGCTGTTCAAAAGCCCACAGGTACTTTTGCAACTAACAAGGGAAGGGCGAATGCGCGATCTCGAAATTCGAAAAACGCTCGCGGCTACCCCCAGGTTATCGACTACGGGGAATACGATGATGTTGGCAGATTTTCCACCGAGGCTGTGCAGAGCGAGATACGGTAATTCCGGAAAAAGGATCATTTGCATGCGAGAAATTAGAATGATCCCTGAGGTTTATTAGGAGCTTCCAAGTATCCATCACTGTCGGTGAGTTAGTCGAGTGCTAACGGTCTCGCTTTTTGAAATATCAACAAGAATTCGGCTCCACCCGTAAATTTTGTTTTGCTTTTAGGGCAATTTGCAACAACACAACCGGTCGCCAGCTTTTTTTTTTGTTTTTCGTCGTCGGTCGGTGTGCATGTTTGGGTTTTGTTTGCTTTGGAGCTCGGAGCTTGCCAAAAAAAATTATTTGAAGCGTTGGGAAATTACTGGCTCAATGCCTGAGGCAAAAATAGCGCTCAATAAGCAAAAAGAATTACGAGTGGAAGCGAACCCTCGTTGGTATTTCAAAAAGCGAGACCGTTAGCACCCGACTAACTCACCGACAGTGATGGATACTTGGAAGCTCCTAATAAACCTCAGGGATCATTCTAATTTCTCGCATGCAAATGACCTTTTCCGGAAGTACCGTAACTCGCTCTACAGGGCTCGGTGGAAAATTCTGCCAACACCATCGTGTTCCCGGTAGTCGATAACCTGGGGGTAGTCGCGAGCGTTTTTCGAATTTCGAGATCGCGCATTCGCCCTTCCCTTGTAAATACAGACGAAAGGTTTACCAAATTTCCATTATAAAAAAGTTTTAGTTTTACGCCTCCGTCTTCAGCATCATTTGCGTCGTCTGCGGGCTCTGCGCGTTGAAAACGAAGAAGCCAAGCTGGATGCAGTTGTTCCTGATTTGTTGGGTGGGTTCGATGCTAATTAAGACTATTGATGTCATTACAACTAGTCGTTAAGCTTTTATCACATAGCATCGCGCAACTATAGAAAACCTAAATCTTTTCCAGACCGTCCTTTCCATCATCACCTGGGCGCTGTGGATTCTCGAGTGGACGCTGGGCGTGGAGACGTACTTTTATGAAGTTTTTTGGAAAATCAACTAACTTAGGGCTGACGCACGCGTAGCTGAGCGTCGTGCTAAGGAGAACAAGCCCCAGATTAATACCAGGGCTGCTTCTTGGATTCGTAAGTTCGACTCGTAGATGATTTTACTTTTTTTTTTACAGTTCTCGCGCCAATCATCATCTTTACCCTGATCATCCAGATTATTCTTACGTTCCTCTATATTTCTTTCTACCGCTTCCTACGGTATGTAATGTAACTTTTATTGCCGGATAATTCTGCATTAATTAGCATTTTCCCAAATTTTCAGCGATCGTCAACTGGAAAAGGAGCAGCACGAGGGGACGATGATGTCCGTCCAAGCCAATCGATATTAAAAAACAAATGTTTAGAAACAAAAATAAACGGAGTATTTTGGCTTCAGAATCCTACTATTAATGTTTAACAAAAGACGACAGAACCATTCAATGGAAAGTAGAGGCAAAGGAAAACGAGAAAATAAAACTGGATTTTTCACGTTTTTGAATTCCCAAGCGTCTCGTCATACCGTTAATCGATTGGCCAATGCCGTGGGTTCATTGCCTATTCCATCAACAACATTCTCAAGGGGAAGCCTGGGTGCCCAGCCCTTTTCAGCAACACGAACATGCTTTGGGTACGGACCCTATCGATTGATCCTAAGGCCTTTTCTCCCTTATTGGGGTACCGCTAATAAACCTCGTCAAAGAATCGTTTGGAGATTCGCACACCTATACAGCCGGAGATGTGTTGATGTGAGATGTGTCCATGTTCTTAGACTTTTTTGATGATCTTCAAAACTCGAAATATTCAGGTTTTAGCGTCATTTTAAAGGTCACAGCCGCCATTTTCCGATATCGTCTTTTTCTTGTTTTTCAGTTCCAAGCTATTTTAAATAGGCTATTTGATAAAGAATTTTTTTTCTGATCCGTATAGTAGACCTTACATAATGCGTGCTAATTTGAACCCTGTAATTTGCCGTTTAGCAAGTGTCCTCGAAAAAGGGTCTTCGGATACGCAATCTTTGAAACGCATAATGACAACCCAGAAATATCTTTCCTAAAGATTTCCGATATGCTAATTCCCCTTTTATATCGATGATTCTCTTTTCAACTACGTTTTAGCTTTATTAATGCTTTACCCCGTATGGTTATGGAGGCCGGAGTTGCCAAAGGATCACCAGCCGATGGATCCGGACGACGAATTTCAAAATGGTACTGAGGAAGAAAACATGGTATGAATTATATCAAAACATATTAAAATTCATCATAGTGGTATCAATCATCGTCGACCTGAATTCGCAATAGCTCGTTTATAGCATCTTCCTAGATGTTCCTGAAGATCCTGATCGTTCTGGGCCAGGCCTATTCCCTGATAACCCTACTCGTCTTTTTTCTATGCAATCACGAATGTGGGCTGGCCTGGGATCTTGTGGAAATCCCAAGTATGCAAAATGTTCCTTGAGGTTTTTTACTACATACATTTTTGTTTGAGCTATATTGAGTTTCTATGACAGGTATCCCATTTCAGCTCTACGCCGCTGTCTTTCTGATCGCAGCTTTGTACTGCGCCATTCGATGCTTGCAGACGCGGATGCCTTTCTGGATGCAACTGACGCTGATATTTTGGGTAGGTCAGAGTAGAAAAAGCTGTCGCACTCCTTTGAAAATCACCATTTTCAGGGGTTTGTGGTGATGTTCAATACTTGGAAGCTAATATACGCGGTGCTGTATGAGATGAGGGGACCGAACAATACGCACGGGTATCATCGGACGAGTTAGGCAACCTTTTCTTGCAATTTATTTACTTAAGATGTGGCTATCATCGGGTACTTGATGACGATGATGCACATCTTTATCACCTGCCTTCTCCTCTCTCGCTACAGCTCTATTCGGTAAAGGAATATGGATTTTGTGGCAAACGAGCATGCGTCCATCTTAGCTTTTCTAGAAATCCTAAAAATCCTTTTTTTCAGCGATCGCCAACTATTTTGGGAGGAGCGCGTTGCAGCGACGCTTGTCGAGTTAAATGACGATCAGATCACAATTTTGTCTGTTTAACCATTCATTTTTTTTGCTCAGAATTACCAAGCGTTCTATAGGCCTTTACGTGACGCTTTTACGTACAAATAAACTTCGCAAGCTCCGGCAAGGCGCACAAAATCTAAATGCAAGTGAATCTTACACATTAAGACACGCAGGGTCACGCCGCATCTGCCTTCTACGGGCAAGGGTAAGGATTTGTGTCGGTCTACATAATCCGAAAATTACTCCTAAAATTTCAAAACCTAATACCTACCACCAAATCGCGTTCGAACAAATGTATATAACCGGGTTCTAGAACTCTATGAATATCACGTAAACCACCAGCTTCCTAGCGAAATTTGCAGCAATACGGAATCGATTTAAACTTCCACGTCTGGTCTTTTCGAATGTACTTGCTTTCATAAATATTTTTTTCAAATCTGTACGCGAATGAATAAAAAAGCTGATGAATCGGTGCTAACCTCTCAAGGACGAAAGTATCCTCTAAAGCTTGCGTCTCACCACTAGGCCACAGGACCGATGAACAGGGCGCGCTGGGAGGGGCTCATATCGCAGCGGCGTTTTTCGGTGCAAAACTTAAAATGCTCATAACTTTTTACCGTTATACGCTCTGGTTGATTTTATTACATAATATTTGGAATCCCCTCGACAAGGCGCGTCGAATGGTGTATCTGACTTCTCTCAAAGTTAGATGCCGAGTTCAGAGACCTCCCTAGTCAGACTCACGGAACGCTTCATTTTTTCCTTGATTTCTTAAATTCTCTCCCACATGGATTTCGTGTGTCGAAGATCGATGGCTATTCGGCCACCCTCGAAAACCAGATGGTAATATCATCCATAATCTGGAATATTTTATTTTGGGTATTGGCTTGACAAAATCTCAATGAGCGATAAAATAAATAAAGGTAAGCAACCCCATAGCCGCGGGGTCTCAAGGTTTTTGGCATGTTCGCTTTTTTGTCAGGATTGTTGCAATGCCATTCGATAGAGCGTCAAAAATAAACTAAGAGCTGAATTGGAGCCAACACTAATGTAAAATAAAAAAGTTTTAGCCAAAACCTTCCGGCTGGGGGAGTGAAAGTAAACTGTAGGCTCAATAAATAATAATCCTGGAATCGGTTAGGAAGAGGAAGATAGAAAAGGAAAATGATAAAACGACGAGAAGATACTGGCACCACTTAAAGGGCTTAGCTCAGCACCAGGCCAACGAGACCAGCAGCACCAGGCCAAGGGCCGCCAAGTCTCAGCGCCCAGGCTCAAAGAAAAGACACGCTTAAATTCATGGTTCTTGGGTTCATGGCTTCACGAGGTCCAGTGGAAAAGGGCCGCGAAGCACTCTTTTTCCTCTGGTAGAGATCTGAGAGTAATGGACTACTGTAACTTTTAGCACCAGATATTTGTTTACGGGATTACCCTAACAGGGTTTAAGGTAGGGTTTAATAGTTCAGTAAAACCGGTCACACTATGAAAATAAGGGCTTTTACCGATACGTATCGGTTCGGGACTTCACAACTATTGAAATTCAAATATAGATCTTCGGAAAACTGATCGAATTCGATGGACAACGCGCGTAATCGCTGGAACCCAAAATCCCGAAATGCACCTTCGAAAAGGAACTTAAAGTTCGATGTCCGGGTTCCAGCGCAAGGTTTCGGTGTTGATTAGCTCGGCATATGCAGAGGCATTTTCGGCCTCGGGAGTATTGACAGCCCGTGCAGCTCGGCCGCGCAATTTCCGCTAAAAAGATAACTTTTCGCTTGTTTTTTCAAACAACGACAACTTTATAGGCACAATGGAAATTTACATCAATGATGCGTAGAAAGGCATGGCCGAGCAACTCTCTAGCCGTGGGGCGTTGTATTTTGTCAACCGTTAGCATTTGTGTTAACAAGTCGAGCAAGACGCTTTCTGCAAGAGATCAGCTTAGGTTATTGATTATTTTACTTACTTGTCAATGGTCCGATGTTATCACCGATTCGCGGCTCCAGCGCATCCTCAAAGACCTTCTCGAAGCTTTGGTTTGGATCAAGAATAATTTTCGATCTGTCGCGCTGACCGGTTTTATCCTCCCAAAGTTCACTGAAGGGTGATTGGCTTGTCGGATGACTATTTTACCTCAAGCGTTCGATTTCCTGACCTGCCCTAATGTTTCTCATTCTTTTCAACACCGAATCAACGGAAGCACTCTTCGAGGATGGGTCCAAATTGAGTGGCATCATCAATTTTAGCCCCAACATTTCGATAGTGACCAATGCCGTGGCCCAGATGTCCACTCCAGTATCATATTTTTCTTGCACAAGTGCTTCAGGAGCCTTATAAATTGGCGGGGTATCAACGTTGATTGTATAGTCGTTGTTGGGAAGGATATCTCTAGAAATGAGGTTGAAACGCTCGAACATATCAATCAGTTACCTGGCCAGTCCAAAATCAAGGAGTTTGATGACAAAGTCCTTCTGATTCATCCCAATATTACGCGGTGTAATGTCCTAAAGTAAAAAGTAATTTATTGAGAGAGTTCTGTATGACTTACGCGATGTATAATTCCATTGCTATGAAGAAATTCTAGCGCCTGCAGTAATTGTGCCAGCATTGCCGCAATGTGGCGAATGTCCCTTCTCATCGGCTGCTCACAGCTGTCCTTTTTACGTAGGTGACTTGAACGGAAAGGCTAGTTAGATGCTTGAAAACAACTCGAAGTATTTTTCCAAGGTGTGATCCATTCGCTCTGTAATAATGCAGAAATATTCCGTCGGTCCATTGGGACACTCAGGCCAGGTTCCGTAAAATGTCACAATCTGAAGAAAGATAAAATTACGGTATCAGACAAGAGTACATGGCTGGCATAATTATAGGTGTGCCAAAAAATGTCGAACAGTTGAATTTCTAGACGGTTTTAAGAAAAAGGTCGTTAAAGGGATGGTTCAGCCTTGGAGCTTGGGCAGTAGCTTGGGTGACTATCGACACAGGCGGGGGCCTGCAGGCCTGCGTCGCCCCTGAGCCGATGGTCCCCCAAAATACTGCTGAAGCTCCAAAGCCGAACTATCCCTTTAATAAAGGAATTAACCCTACCCTACAAAACCCCTCTAGTGCTTTGGAAGATTGGGATATTCTATCGGGTTCCTTACATTTTCATGCCGGTTTAGCCGCGCGATGTCTACTTCACGCTTTACACGCCGGTATCCATCGACGGTTGACGAGAGCTTAGCCATCGAATATCTGAAGTGGATCAGGGGATTTCTTGCCAGAGGGGAAACGTGACCACTTAGAAAATGATTCCTTGCAAATGGAATGGTTTCCACAATGATGTTCGAAGTAATGGTTTTTGAAGTAATGACGGAAAGCCCCTGTATCATCGTTTTCTCAAAGGGATACCGACGGCATAGCTCGATCACCCGTGATCGAGCTTTTGGCACGTAGCCAACAGGGCAGAGAAAGCGCCCAGGGGCGAGACGCAGAGACATTTTCTTTCCCTCGCGTCACCGATTACTCATGCCGTCGTTATCCCCTTAATCATTCCTTCAAGTCGTGGACCATACAATAGCTTGTCCCATGGCTTTTCTGAATCAAAGATATATCAGGGATAGTCGACGATCTCTTCTGGTCCAGGACTCCTTATGGTCTTTTGTCCACTGTCTTTTCTATGTTCCCCGTAACGGTATGAAACCAATTCTTCTAAGAAATCAGTTTGCGAAGTACTGTTTTTGAAGTAATGATGGGCATCGTAGCAGACTAAGGGACCCTGGCGTTGACTTACCGTCTTATCGCCACGGATACAGCACCTTCATCTCGTTCTTTCCGTCGCATCTTAGCAGCTCTGAAAACAATATACCACTATATATTTTCCTCTTACATAATATCAGCGTAAGTTCCTCGCGCGATCACATGAAACTCATCTGTGAGGTTTTTTGGACGGAAGAATTTGTCATCCTAAGAAAATGAAATGGAAATATGTCGGATTCACCTTGTCTGGTTTGAGCGACAGCAGGACTAAAATCGGGAACACGTCCAGAACTTTGGTATCATCTTGCAAATTCGGCCTACGGAACGTGGCTTTGCTTGGATAGCACGGATAGAGAGGCCTTATGCGTCGTCCTTCAACGGAAAGTGCCTCGAATTTTGTCGACAAGTCCATCCACTATAGCGTTGCTTGTAGCACGAAAAAAATTAGATCCATACGTCCGTCCTGATGGCCAACGAGCATGAAAAATAAACAACCGGCCTCTGAGCTCTACAAGTCCATATCTCTGGCCTTAGAAGCTCTTATACCGCGAATTATATGATGTAATTCTTCCTTATCAATCTTCTTTCTGAAGTAATTTCATGTTGACATTTCATTTTTCAGCATCCAACAAAAATTTTTATTCTGGAGAAGGGGATGTTTGAATTTTTTTTTGCTTCCTCTAAACGCCAAAATGAAGAACTTGCAAGGTATTTGCGTCCGAAATTATCCCCAGAATTGGACTAGCGTCAACCTTACGCCCCTCCCCCCAATCTTAGGTTTGTTTTTGGCGTCGGCATGAGCTTGGCGTCCGACCTGATAGAATAAAGAACTATTGGATACATGGCTACTTGGCTTGTAGAACAAAACAGGAAATAAACCCTGGGCGAACGGTAATGTTTTGTGCAAGCGAAACCATGCACCCAGCTTCAAGCTAAGATAAGGGACACCGGCGAAGGAGAAGACGGACAGGCCCCGTCCCTTTCATTTTCTGGGAGCTTGTAGGGAGATAGAGAGAGAGAGAGAGAGAGAGAGAGAGAGAGAGAGAAAGATAGCGAGCTAGAAGAACAGACTGTTACAATCAACTAAAAAATTGTTGTGTCTGTTGTAAACCTGTAAGATCCCACCTTATATAATTTGGTCGCGTATGTGTGTGTGTGTGTGTGGATGTCACTTTCGAGGCTCGATTTGAGGGCCTTCCCGTGTCCAAAATGCCCTAATTCTCCGTCACTCGGGGGAATCGACCCTTCTGTTTCCGATGGCGTTCTCAGAATTTCGATAAAATACAAGTTTA